TGGCAAAAGCCTTGCAAGGTAAGACTGCCCCAGCTGTGCTGGGGGTGTAGACTAAAGGAGAAGGGAGAACAGAGAACATCCTTCCAGAAATCACTTTTCAATTGCTGGAGTCTCCAAACACAGCTCATCTCTGGTTAGTGCCACCCTTGGCTGTGGAGTTATCTCTGTCCCCTCAGATCTCTATGGTGGCTAAAATTCTAGCCTTGCCATTCTATTTCCTTTATGCCTTGGCAAACATTGAATCACTGTTTTGCTAAATATGTTTAAATTAAGTGAACAAATTAGTTATTGCCTGATTACTTCAGTCAGCAGTTTTAGTTGTTGTCACAGAAAAGGTTAAATGTATTTGTGTGGATCTGGTAATTTGGTTTCTGATTTATCTTGGTGCAATATTTTAATTTCCTCTATCTGTGGTTCATGATACTTCAAGGAGAAAAAAAATCCTGGTGGGTTTTCTTTTGTTATTCCCTTGTTATTTTGGGGTTTTCTTATTTTTTTTCCTCCCTGTTTACCTTCTTGCTTTTTCTTTTTGCTTTTTTTATTCTTATTATTTTATTTATTGTTGTTGTTATTATTCTTTTTTTTTTTCTGCTCTAGAGCTTGAAAGGTGGCAGATTTTTTCAGAGGAAAAGATGGAATGCTCTATACTTGCAGAGAAAAATACTCTGACACTATCTATCTCTGCAACAAGCAGAACAATTTCTGGATTGCTTTTCTTTTGAGCTTACTTTTTTAAAGGTAACATCCAGCCATATCAGCACAGTGCTTAGTCCTCCCTCTGCTTCCAATAGAAACTAGATATTTTTATGGATCCACTCTCTTTTGTCTTGAAGCTCCTTCCCTAAGGCCAAAAGAAACAAGGCCATATTGCTGGCTGGAGTATTTGTGAATTGAAATCATCAATAGTTCAGAACTGAGTGAATTCAAATCCCTTAACACAGAACCAGGTTAACTGATTTATGCAATAGTATTGCTCCATATACTTCATAAGGCAATTTAATATTGTGCCCTCCCAAATGGAATGTTAAAAAAGAGTATTTAAATTTATTATAAACCTGAGAAAGAGTTTTACTAAGTGTTTAGCCAGCTCAGCTATTGCTTGTGATCTTTGCTTCATGCTATAGCTCAAATTTCATTAGAAGCTGCTTTTTATTCAAGTTAAATAATCCCTTAAAATCCTTCTAAAATCGGAAGACACACATGCTTGAACTGTTTTTCTGCTACTAAAGCACACAATGCACAAATGAAACTGACTTTCAGATTATGATTTGCACAGTACTATATAATATAAATGGATCTGAAATTTATAGCACGCCACGTACTGTTTAATACTCAACAGTTAAACTGCTGTGTTTCCACAGCAAGCTGTAATAACTAAGGATTTAATACAATATCTGATATCTGGATAGTTATTAACATTGTTTTCCTAGTATTTTACTATCTGCTTGTAAACACTAGTTTATTGAAATGTATCTACATGGTCATATAAACTGTGAAAAAGACCACGTTGTTTTCTTTGCCAGAAGTACTGCAGATGTAATGAAAAAGTCTGGACCTTGAACTTAAACATCCAATCCTATATACACAAAAAAAAAGTAAATCCCTTCCTACCACACTATTTTGACCTTGTATAGCTGTTCAGGCTTTTTGACAAAGAGCCAGAGGAAGTTGCTGCTCTGGAGATCTGGTTTGTTTGAGTTAGGTTTTTAAACTCTGTAATTCCCTTTAAAGAGCTAGAGCTCCCTCCCTTCCCCCTTTATAATCTGTAAAAAGGAGGAAGGACACTTCAATGTACAGTGTTATTTTTACTGCTGGATCTTGTGCCAACAGAAATGCAAGGTTCAATTTTATTAGACTGTAGAGATTAAAAATACCATAAGAATCTCAGTAAATGGTTATGAGCTGATATATTCATGTTTCAAAGTAAGTATCTCCTCTGATCTTATTTAAGTTATATTTTAAAACTTGTCCTTTCACTCTTTATCACCTTAGACAAAGATTTTAGGCCAGGCTTTAGCAGCTGTACAAAACCAAACCAACCAAATAAAAAAAACATAGACAGGAAAACTCTTGCCTAGGTGTTTAAGCCAGTGAAGTGTAATATCGACTGGTACATGACTATATGTCATCCAATAGATTCAAAAATTAGGGTAAGATGTTAAGGACTTAGCTCCATTTACCTAACTGAGCAAAGGCTGGCTGAATTGTCTGAGTCAATCCATATCATCCTCCACAATGCTGGGTTTTGCTTTTGGGAAAGAAATCTACCTTGTTGATCAGGAAAGGGAAAAGTGAAGAAAATGAGCAGCTGGTTTGGTAAGGAGGATGTCATAACTTAAGCTGCCAGCTCAGCAGGATTAAGTCCAGAATCTGTACAAATAAAAGTAGCTTTCATGTGTTTTTTGTGCAGACCTTCACTTTCTAAGGTTGGACCTATACCTCGAGACCTAAAGTCTACAAGAGCTTCCTCTGTAATCCATGGCATGTGTTTCCCTGCTCTCTAGGCAGAATTCTTTGGCTAGATGAGATGTCTCAGAGCTCCTTTATGGATGTTTTTCCTCACTTTATTCACAAATGTAAGTACCTGGCAAATGGAGCCAGGTTCTAACTTGGTGAAAGTTTCTTCCTTGTTGCTTATTCTCTATAAGATTTGGTCTTATAGGAGAAATTTCTAATTAAATTATGTCTCCAGCTAACCTCAAACACTGCACAGATGCTTCATATAAATATATTTCTCTTAGAATTTCAGATACCTGGCTATTACAATCTATTTGATGGGGTTTTAGATCTAGACAGAAACATATCACAGACATGGCAGAGAAGGCATCATCCATCTCTGGCCCCTCCTGAGAAGTTCAGACACACAGAGGCACTGTTAGTATTTTGGATAAATTGAATCTTGGAGAGAAAAAAAGGATCAAAACATAGGAGCAAAAAATAGAACATTATTTTAGTAAAAGAGAAAGTCAGAAGACCCACTAGGCTTCTCACTATTTTCATAGACTTCCCACGCCAAACATCAAGTGGTGGCCTGTTTTTATTTGTTTCTTTGTGTGTGCATGTTAATGTCTTTTAGATGGAAAGGAAATTGCAAGCAACTCAACTGGTCCTATTTTTAATTTTTAAAAAATTCTTCTACATTCTCAAAATATACATTCCAGTATTAGGAAAAAAGTGTAAAAAAGAACAAAGAATTACCTGTGGAAGAAGAGTGTTTCTTTTTAGCATTATGGAATGTAATTATTCTTTAAAATGGCAAATTTTATTAATTTTAGTATGAGCAGGTATTTTCTACATTTACAAGTAGAATAGATAGTTCCTTTGCTGTTTATCTGCCACCAGTCTATTTTGCTACTAGGTTTGATTCATCCACTTGTACATGAAAAGAGTGAGCACAAAATGATTCTCTGATTCAGGCTGTGGCTTTTTTTAAGCCCAATGAGTGTATATATCATTTATTCTGACTTTATACCAGATAGGGATAATAGAGGAACTATAACTAAAATACTAAAAATGATGCAACAAAGACACAGAGCACTACATTCACTCATCAATAGCCCTGTTTGCCTTTTAGCCTTTAGAATGACATTTAAAAACTCCTAACAAGGTCTAAAAGGGCTTTAGCAATTCTGTTTGCTTGGGTTTTTTTTTTTGAGTAAAGCATAGAAGTGTCAGATAACCAAGTTTAAATGAAATATGAGAAGGCAGGATGTGATTATTTTTTAGTGAAGTTCTTTTCCTTTAAGCTTCTCCTCGTTGGCTAAATAGATCAACTGGTATATATACACTTTTTTTTTTCTTTCTGTTATGTGGCAGGAGATATATTTTAAGACCAGATATTTATTCTCTATATTACAGCATGACATGGGGTCTCCCATGCACATATAAAAGAATGCAGAGAGTCTTTGAGCAAAATCCAAGTATTTTAGTACTCCTCAGTTGCTCTCCAGCACTGCAGCTCATTTCCTTTCGTTCTCAGATACCCAATCTGTGAATGTACAGCCAAAACCATATTGGTATTTTTTTGCAAAGACTGCTCTTGCTCCATTAGAACTGTAAGAGCAGTGGACTAAGTTCTGCTATCTCTGCAACATCTTTTAACACAGAATTGAATTTTGCAAACCTTGGTTTTGCCAGCATAAGGCATGATTAAATGGCCATGCCATTTTAAAATGACTGAACTAGGACTTAAATGAGTGTAGCCTAATAGCTGAGATATGTTTTCTGACATCCTAGACTTAGAGTAAGTAAATCCTGTGCTTTTAGTAGGCTGCTTTGATGTCATCATCTGGCATAAATGGGCTAATCTGTATCTCTAAATTAAAATTCCAGGTATGCTGGTGTTTTCTTCTGCACACATATGTTTAAGGCAGAAAAGTATTGGTAGGGATTTCATTAACATAAATGACAATGACACATGAAGAATTAGAGCCTGCTGTCAAGATAAAGACAGTACTGCAGGCAGAAATCTTTTTCAAAACTACCTGTATAGGATTAATGTTTAAAAATCTATTGTAATTATCTTCACTGTGAACTTACTTTTCAGATCAGCATCTTATTTTAAAATATACAGGCATACATAAAAAATAAACTCAAGTAAACTATGCAAAATATGTATTATTATGGCTTATTAGTGCTTGATGCTCATTCTGCATACAGACTTTGCCATCATCCTGCTTCTGAGATCCAAAAGGAGTTTGGGCAGGAAAGAGAAAGTAGAAACAGAGTCATCTGTGAAAGACTCAGAATTTCCTTGATCACTCCTATGGACCATCATTAATACTTTAAACCTGAGAGCTTAAAACCTTAACACGTAAGAAAATTTGTGTTTTGTGCTGCTTCACCACGGGTGTGAAATTTGCACAACCCACCAAGACAGTCGGGGTCAGATCACACCTCTTGTTCCTGAGCTGTGCATTTGAAACCCTCCAATCCTGTATGGAACTGGTATATTGTACATGTACTCTCTGTGAGGTTGGTACTTCAGGGTGCTCTTAGGCACCCAACTTGGTGGGTTGTTTTCTTCAATGAGCCAAACAGCTAATAGTTGCTATAAAGTTGTTTATTGCAGAAGCACATCAGTCTCAAAAGTAAAAGTTACAGGCACTAAAGTCCATGTTAAGTTTTGGTATAATGTCCCAAATAGAAGCAGAAGCAAATGGCAAAAGCAATGGCAAAGATCAAAAAGCAAAAGCACCAGTTCTCCCTAATGCATGTTCTTATATAGAAATGTCTCAACTAGCTAAGATGAAAACTCAGACCACTACTTCTTCAGCTATTAGAATTTTAGTTTCTCAGCACGCTAGGCTATGTAAAAACTATATATATGGTCTACCTCATTCTATTTTAAAAATGTAAGTAATATTCTTACTATAGCTTTATTACGTCTAAGGCTAAGTTCTGGGAGCCTCCATGGAAGCCCTGGTGTCTAAGACTATGTTTTCCAACCTTCACTAGGAACTCGCACTTCTACACTGGCATTTAAGACCTTTTGCTTACTGAAAGCACTTAAAACTCGTTCTACTTACTTAATGACTTGCCTGCTTATTCTAAAACTTAAACCTATACCTCTACCTTATATGTAAGTAACTTAACATACTTCAATCCATCGAAAAGCTTTAATTAAATCCCTGTACTCTGATTTCTCTCTGAAGAATCCAGAGAAACTCCTGACTTACTGACTCCAGCACTCTCCATGCAGTGTACATGATCACCTGTGCTCACAGGAAGTGTCAAAGTGGCCACAGCAGGCTCCCCTTTGTTCAAGGTCCAGCCTTTGTATCACTTCCCATTGCTGATTCTCAGCTTTAGCCTTGAGCCTTCATCAAGGTACACCAGGTACCAAGGAAACCAGCACATTTCTTGACTGACAAATTCATCTTTAGTTTTTACAGAGTAAAATGGTGGTAACTAGCAAAAGAAGACATTTAAAACTACTGTAGCACATGTGCTGATGTGGAAAAGTGACTTGTTTTTTCTTTCTAGCCTAGTTACTGCTTTGAAAGTTCTTTTTATTATCAATAATGGTACTACATTAACTTGTTTTTTGTGTTAAGGCAAAGACTTCTCTTAACTTTGCTCTTGTGTCTAAAAAGAAGCTGGATCTTGTTGGCTGATGATTTCTTTACTGTCAAGAAACTCTAACCTTCAAGAGAGAAGGTTAAACCTTGCACAGGTGCATATATATAAATTTTGGGTGGAGGAATATAAACCTCAAACAGAGCACTCCTCAGTCGACTAGGGAACAAATGTGTGAAAACAGACCCTCAAAAAATAATAATATACACATTCACCTATGTTAGGATGGATTTCTCAGTTATCTTGGAAGCATATGACAGAATAAGGGGTCTTAAATTCCATTTGTGTTTCATTTGCATTAAGCATATAACCACTTGGATTAATATATGAAAGTGAAAAGGATATATAAGCCCAGCCCAGTCAAGCCACAGAAGTAGACCTGGGTTTTATGCATCTGCACTTTTTATTTTATTTTTCATGTTGCCATTTTCAAGATGAAAAAAATGTTGTACGACATAAAATTAATTATCCCCATATACTTAGTTACATTAGCACTCCTAAAGGTGCCTCTCTGAATAGAAATATAATAAATTATCAAGGCGCCACTGTGTGCTTGAGCTACCTATGTGCTAATAATTTACAAAATGATTCAGTAAAATAAGTATTATAAAGTATTTTGATATCTCTAATATATTTATTAAATTATACTTATTTTTTCCAGACTGTTCCTGTTGTCTTTTGCCTTAATATTTTCTTGAAGGTTGAAAGGACAAGAAAAACCATGCTGTAAATCTGTTGGCTCTTACTTGATAAATTATAAAAAACTTTTGATCTTGAAGCAATGTAACCTAAAAGCCTTTTTCTTTTGGCTGGAATCCCAGACTCCAAATGTCATTCAAAGGATATATTTTCATGATAAACTATTTGATACTCTACATCCTTGTATAAATTTCTATTTTTGCATTTTGTTTGTTATATTAATGTTTATCATGAGCTTTCTCATATTCAACTTAAATTATTTAATTGGAGCTATACAAGATTGGATATTTTAAATAATTCTTTTTTTTCAAAAATAAATACCAGAACTTAGAGAAGGTGTAATTTAAGGTGGAGACAAATTGATCTTTCTCCATTGTTAGATGAAACAAAATAATTTTGAATTAAACGTGTGCTACTACACTATATTCGAGACTAGAGATGGATATTTGAGAGAAAGAAGGGAAGAAATGTTAGGAATTAGTATTAGAAAAACTATCTTGCTAAAGATTACTTGAGTAGAAACACAAAACCAAAAAACAGATTTTCATTTCCTTTTCTCTTTATGGCTTATTATCCACATCTAATTGTCTTTTAACACAAATTTTACAGTTGAAGGGCAAATCAAATTTCTTTTGCAATAGTGGAACACATACTGTGGATAAATAGTGAAGATACATGGTGGTGTATATATATATAAAGTTATTAAATCCTTGTCATCTAGTATGGCATTGCATGTAAGTCAAGAAAATATTTGGCTTCAGGCAGCTTTAATTTAATGGGAAGAGTAGGAAATTGATTTACTACAAATTGTTTTAATATTACTGCATAACACAGCCTTGCAAAGTAGTTATGAAATTTACCGCTACGGATGCAACTATTTATTTATTTGCCTTTTTTTCTCAGTAATCAATCGTGGTGGTGAACTAATAATTTTTTTACACTGCATTGCATAATATTATTCATTTCAGCAAGCTGAATGACCCAAAAGTTGCTAAACTGCTATACTACAAATACATATTTCCATATACTCATCTTTTGTAAATAAATTATGTGTTGTAGCTCTGTAGCTTTCTTGTGTGTTGGGGATGTAATCAACATTGAAATTGAAATAGAATGCAGTAAGGTTACATAAAAATGACAATTGTAAATGGCACAAACTTTTTCAGTTTGTTTAATTTTTGAATTTTAGGAACCATACAGGCATAAGATTAATATTAACTATGTGATAAGGCATGTAACACTCGCTGGGTTTATATTGTAGAGAAATACCTTTAGTGCTTTCATAACAAATTTGTAGCATTTTTCTCATGAATAAATGAAGATATTTGAGCTCCAGGTCCTATCAGTGGTGCAATGCTGATGAGTCACTCATGTCTTGCTGTGGAAGCTTGCACAGGAGGTGTGGGACCAACAGGTGGGTCTGGATTTCACTGGGATGAGGATTGACAATGATCTCACTGGTCTAACAACTGGAACTGAGAATACGAACCTATCTCTTTTCTCATTGTTTCATTTATTTGGATATTGGCCTCGTGATTCAAGCTGGGTGTCAAAGCAGTGGTGTTTTGTGGAAGATTTTGGGTTCTGTACTGAGTTCAGCACAATCTGAAATGGAGGAAGTTTCTGGTTATGAAGCCCAGCCCTCATCAGGCATTTCTGTGCACTTAGGTGGTTCAGCTCTGTGATGTCCTGGACAAGGAGTGGCACTGCAAAGAATCAGAAACCTAGAAAATTTGGTCTCTATTCATTCCTTCTCTGTCTTTATCCAGTTATGATGACACAACTACATTATTGAAAGAATTCTGTATCTCACCAAAATTAACATGAAAATCCAGTTTATTGCCAAACAAATCTTTTGTATTGATTTGTCATTCAGTGGTGTAGAGCTGGTTCAGGTGCTGGAGAGGGATTCTGTTGTGGGAAGATCCCTGTCAGTGACAGGATATTGAAGTGGGTGGGAAACTTCTGGTTTCTTAAGAGAGGAAAAGTAGGAAAACTAACCTGGAGGAAACAGAGGACAATTTTCAACAAATATTTAGTGGTCCTGGAGTTCATGAGAATGTTCAAGGTTCAAACTAATAATGAAAATCTAATCACTGTAAGTAATACACTCTATAAGGCAACAAGCTAGTTTGCTATTAAAGAGGAGGGGAAAGAAAAGCAACAAAACCAACCTCTTATTTGCACAAACAGAAAACATTCTTGTTGTGGAATAAAAGCCAGTGACTGAGAAAATAACAAAAGCATCTATATGAGAGTTTATGACAGCAGTTGCATCTGCCAAAGTGTGAAATATTCGTCCATGTTCAGGTGGGTGATGCTAGAACTGAAGATTAACTTTTGACCAGGGATATATTGTATCATTTTCTTTCTGGCATCATTGATTTAAATATACGAATAGAGCTATGCGAGAGTGGGAAGCAGATAAACTATCATTAGCATCATTCTAGTAACACTAGCTGCAGTGAATACCAAACAGGTTTATACTTAGCAGGGGAAAGTAAGTGTAGCTGCACTGAGATTTGAACATCTATTAACAGCTTGTCCAGTGGCTGAGATTAGAGCAGTCTCCTGTCAGTTGATGTGTTTCACTCACAAAGTGTTCTGCTTAACATTAAGATAATCACTGTTTATGAAAAGACAAAAATCAAAAATATATACAATAAATCACACTGCCCTATAGGATACTAGGTCCATGCCTGGCCGTATATAGAATTTATTACTTCCTTCCTCAACACACAAGATTGAACTTTCAACAGATCTGGCATTTAAACCTAAAATTTAGAGTGTGCTTTTGCCGAATAGTCTTTTGCTGCTGTGGAAAACATTTCAGCCTATGATGCAAAAGATAAAACCACTTCTAAATTTCCCAAAAAACAAACAAACAAAAAGGTGCATTTCCCAGAATTTGCAGCCAGGGTAGAACACCTATGTATTTTTCAGTATGAATCAATGTACAGTAACACATGTGTTACTTATGTAAGTTCAGCCATTCTAATACCATTTTTTGTTGCATTTTGAGGCTTTTGGGGTAAGTTTATTTTAGGCTTTGCTCCGTACTTACAGTATTGAGTGATTTGGCTTCAGGGTAACCTCTCTGTTTCACTATTCCCATTAAATGTGTGGCTGCAGGAAAGTGTCACTGTCCCTTCACTCATGAACAATTGCATAGCTCAGAGTGGAGCATGGTCTGGTTTTCATCCCAGCTGTATGAGTGAGAGCTGCTCTGGACTAGAATATAGGTGAGTGCCACTGATTAGGAGCTGTATTGAGCAGTGCAAAACTGACTGTGAAATATTTTCAGGTCCTGACCTAGCGAAAATCTGAGGCTAAGATGTGCAGAAATCAAGCATTCAGAAAAACATTGAAAGTATATGATAAAACACAACTGATTTCTTTATGATTTAAATGTCTGCTTAATGCAATTCCCTCAATATCAGCTTAGAGTTTCACTGATTTAGAAAGAAGCTGAAGGTGTTAATTGCTTTGTGTGATTTTTGTCAGTAATTATAGGACAATTTATGGATATTTTCTTACAGGAAAGCAAAAAACAATCTCTTTCCTGGATGTTTCTTCAGCTGCAATAGAAGACTGAACTTCAGCTTTTCATGGGCTGTGATTAAACAGGTATTGACTTCTCTGATTCAGAGAGTGATATTTATATACTTGGTCGAAAAAAGATAGTTCCAGCTTAGATTCTGCTGGATGTGGAATCAGAGGTCAAATATAGTAAATATTTCCTTACGGTGGTAAGGAAATTCAAGTACTTCTGAGTTTGCCCAGATACCATTCAACACATGGGAATTCATTAGAAATCTAAGTAATGTGTTCTAACCCCTTATTTTCACATGGATCAGCTGCAGTGGTTCTGCCGAATGCTGTGACAATTAAATCAGTTTTAAGAATTCTATTTTTCAAGCAAAACACCTTTTAAACACATAACAGAGATGGACATAAATAAAATTATCATCTCAGCTACTTCATAAGACTAGGATACTACATACTAATTTCAGGCATATTTATTTCCATAAATAAAACAATTGGATGTTCCTGTCACCATAATCTTAATAACTGTCTGGACTCTGTCCTTTGTTTAATGAACTGATTGTTATAATTGGAACAGCACACTAAGTACATCATGTAGCATTTTTCTAGTTTGATTCTCTAGGGGCCTATGAAAATTAAAAATTATTTAGCACAAAAATGCTATTAGCTCTGAAAAGAACAAAGAAAAAGATATTTAAAAGTGAGTCTTCTCCATGCATTAGTTCTGGGTGTAATCTTGAGAAATTTTATATAGTAAGAAGAAGAAAGTGGCAAGTTAGACATTTAGTGTAGAATTCAGATAAAACTGACTTGACTTCCTGTTTACGTTATCTAGGTGAAATTGGAAAAGTAGATTGTGCAATTCCTTTTGCTGTTTCAGGATATAAGTAAAATAGTTCGTGCCTGGCTTTTGAGAGTTTGAGGGGTTGTAAAGGTCATGCTAAATTTCCAAGCATGATGGAAACTGTCAGCTGTTCCAGCAGATACACATTATCACACACATCTGGGCTAGCAGAACATTTTTGAGAAGAGTTGATGCTTAATTGGAGTTATTATGTAACTGTCGAATCTTTGGATCACAAAAAATCCCTTTAAAGCTAGAATTTTTCATAGGAATAAAGGATGTTATAGTTACAAGAACATGAATTATAGTCTTGCATCTCTGAAAGCCCAGTAAGAACTGTCTTCATCAAACCTCACAGTCTTGACTATTAAAAGTGGTATTAATAAGAAATATATCTAATAATATATAAATTTGATATTTCTTGCCATGTCATGTATTTCCCACTCTTCCAGGAAAATCTAGTACAGAAGAATAACAAGAGAGAAAAAGTGTAAGTGCCATGCTCAATCTCTGATGGAGACAAGAATATAAAAATCTTTTCTCATCTCTATAAGAGTGAGTGGAGTTGCTTGTTCTCCAGTGTTAAATTTAACATTGAAAACTCTGCTGAAACAAGTGTATTGTGCCTTGAAAAATAACTCAGCCTTACTTACAAGTAATTGTTCATCTATTTCAGTCACCAGTTCACTTCTGTTTGGTTGTAGGATTAAGGCAGAAATATGAAAGTAAGGTTGTTGCTGTGATCATTCTTCATGTGTTTTCTACCTCATTTTCTGAGCATTTTGCACATTGGCTGGATGGATGCAGCCAGGGGCTGTGGTCAGTGTGTCTGTGTCAAGGCTGAGGCAGGTGAGGAGTGGTGTCCCTCAGGGTTCCTTGGTGTCCTTATCAATGACACAGTGATATTCAGTGCAGCCTCAGCAAGCTGGCAGGTGACTCCAAGATGGGAAGAGCAGTAGGAGCAAGAGAAGGAAGGGATTTCGTGATTTCCCATGTGCAGGGCATTGCCAGTAGCAGAGCTCTGGTAGATACAGAGTTCCACAGCTCCGTGTCCCCAACCATGGCCAGTGACAAGGCTGAGCATGTATGACTGAATACACATTTACCTGACCATCTGGACTGCAGAACTCACAGCAGTGAGCACCCACTCAGTCAAAACCCGAAGATTTACTGTGCTTTGCAAAGCTAATTTTGGAAAAATTAATATGGGCACTAGAAATTATTACATTAATTATTTGAGCCATGAACACAGGACCCAACACTTTTCTGTTGCACCACGGAGTCTGCAGAAAGGAAACAAGCAGTGGGAAGATGTGTTCCAGAGCTGACATTTATCATGCTGATATGTTGCAGGCTTCACCTCCATCACATCTCAGAATAGTCTCTTCTTGTTGTGCTCAACTATAGATACTGAACAACATTAACATTCAGGAAGACAAATGTAGTGAGACTGACTTTTTTAATGTGATGATTTTCTGTACAGTCAATTGTTTTTGTTGTTGTCTCATCACCTGAGAACTGTCTGGGGTGAATGCAATAAGGCTGCATAGGCTTGTATTTTGGAAACAGAGTAGAAAGTCTCTATTAAGACCATCAGCTGCAAAATAAAATCCCTGTAAAACCATTATTGAAAGTAGCTAAACTTTATGGTATAAAATATAAGTGGCTTCTCCATTAGAAGAGGCTAAAAAATTGACAAGAAAGATCTAACTGGCAAGTTTAGAACATAGTAAAGTAGCCCTTCCTTATTAGAATAAAATAACACCAACAAAAATCCTACAAATTAACCAGCATAAATGATTTCTAGAATCTCTTTTCTCTGCTGGCAGATGATAGTGATTACACTAATTGCAGTTATATTTTCTGCAGAAGCTTACGAATAATGCATGAAATTAAAACATTGTTTCAGGTTTTGTTTGTCAGATGCTAAAATTACAGAGACAAAGACTTTATGTGAACTTTTTTGAGAGCGGTAATCTCAGGAAATGGGCAATCCGAGTTCAGCATTGTTTTGGCATTACATTCCCTTTGCAGTAAAATGCTGAACAGATGTATCTGATAGCAGTTGTAACCTATTCAGAAGGAAGCCTGCCAGTGCTAACCTACCACTGGTAGAAAGCAATAAAATGTCTCTGGAACCTGTTCACTACATATGGTTTGCCTGAGGTTACTGTCTTGCCTTTCTTACAATGTTACCCAATAAATCACAGAAAATATGGATTCATTTTGAACTTAAATGAAATAAGACAGGGGAAAAAAAAAACCCAAACCAAAAAAACCAAAGAGCAGACTGTGAAGACTGTTGGATATTTTCCTTTCAGACATGAAATCAGCTATTTATAAGACTAAACTATTTTTAAAATCTCTAAAATAGTGCCACTAAAATGTTTCTATTCTTGCTTAATATACTTATCTTCTTTTCAGACAGAAATGCTATTGCAGCCTACACTTATGCAACATCTGCTGTGTTAATTATCAATATATTACTAAGCCCTCAATTTCCTTACTCAAACATAATTCTTTGAAACATTACGAGAAACAATGGATTTAGGAGTATATCACTTGGGGATTTGATGTACTGTTCAACTTAGATTCCTTCATTCTGGCCAGATGGAGTTCATAAGAAGATGTGGGGGAGGAAACCTCTAAACTATTGCCAAAAAATCTTTACTGCACATGCAAGATTTGCAAAAATGGTGAAAGAGCAGGTTATCCAACCAACCAGCAGCCTGTAGGGAGAAAAAGCATAGGTTTTACATATAAATCAGTTATGGCCTTAATGCAAAATCAAAGTTAACTCTGTTTCAGAGTGGAGAAAGCCTGTTCTCATACACTGCAGATTCTATTTGAAATGAGCCATTTGCTTAATCTGTGCCCATATCAGTTTCCACAAAGGTAGTACTTAGATAAAGAATCTTGCTATGATATGTATCAAAGAATAGGACTTTGAAATATAAAACCAGGAAGAGATAAACAGTCAAAAATTCTGCACGTTTGATTTTAAGTTACTTACATTTGGAGGGGGGGAAAAGTATATTTTCAGTAACCTAAAGTGGAATTTGTATCATCTGCATCTGAGCTTGGCACCTTGACCTGCCTTTAAGACAAAAGAGATGAGCTGCCACCTTTAGTAAGGCAGCTAACTTGTTTTGATGATTTCTGTGCATGAGGAGAGCTGCTAATGTTTCTATTTTCCCACTGATGCTCCAGGCAACCCGAGAGGCAGGTTCAGTGTTTACATTGGGCAGAATCATCCTTCCCCCATGGCCACAGCGCAGAGTTTACACTGTGAACACAAACGAGACCAGGGACAGCACACACCTCACTGTTTTCTTCATTTATTTCTTCATTTACTCTGCTCATGATGCTCTTCTGAGAGTGCAAATTGTCCTGGAATTCAGCAGCAAGGAGCCAGGCCCAGGCCAAATGGCATGTATGTTTGCATGTTATTACTGTTGTAACAATTCAAAGCTGCAGAAGTAGAAGAAGCATATTTCTAAACAACATCAGAAGTTTCAAGCCCCCCAAAAATTCAAGAATGTGTTTATAATATTTCCTTCAGAGTAGTAGGAAAAGCAAGACCAAATTAATTCCTAACATATATCTTAACATCTTATTTTGTCCCAAAGGCTTATAGTTTTCCCATCTCTTTGTAGATATTAGGTTAACACATAGAATTTTATTCATTTTTAATGAATAAATATGAAAAAAAAAACAAACCAAAACATTTTATTGCTTTCTATCAGGGGTAGGTTAGCACTGGCAGGCTTCCTTCTGAATAGGTTTCAGTGTGTTTCATTTGGGTAATGAGGTGATTTACAGAGACTCATCTTTGGCTCTAGGTGTGCTTGGGGTGGGTGAACCCTGGACCATCTTGTTAAACTTTCCTGCTTATTAGACACACCTCGTGTGGAGGAGTCCTTTGGATGTGCAGAGATTTGATATGAATGAATTTGCCTTAAGGTCAAAGAGATTTTTTTTTTCCCCTCAGAAAATATATTAATTTATTGCACCATATTATATGTAGTAGGACACTGTTTAAAATATGTATAACATTCTTTAGGCATTCAGAAAATGTTTATTTAAAAAGGATTGACTGTATAAATAAATTAAGAGAAAATATGCATTTATCAAATGCTACAATTAAGGTTTCTTTGCTTTTCTTGGCAGTTCTTCCTGAGGAACAAAATTTTTGCTCTTTTGGAACAATGGGCCTCATTCCTAGGGGTCATAAATCAAGTCAAAGTAGCCTGAGGGATTTATACCAGAGAATGATCTGCACCACCAGGTAAAATTATTCCCAAAGGAAGATTCTTGGTGTAATTCCAATGAATTCACTGAATAAATGTGTCCCTTTAATCATATATGAAATAATCCTGCTTCCTCATATACAATGTCACTGGCTTGCAGAAAGAGATCTCTAATATGCTATTTCCTATCTGTTCACTGGCTGAATTGAAACTAATAACATCCCTTCAGCTGATTTCCTTCCCTTACACAGACAATATCATTACTTTGTTACTTTATACTACTTTTAAAATGGAAATTAAATATCTTGACAGTAAATAAAGATTAGGTTGCCTCAGCATACTTAAAATCTTTTCAAGATTTCATTAAAAATATATATATATATACACCTGTAGAAAAGAGTTGTAAATGTAGTCTGTAGTGTAGCTCAACAAAGTTATGTTTTTTATCTTTTAAATTATCATTTCTGTGTGTTAACCTAATATCTACAAAGAGATGGGAAAACTATAAGCCTTTGGAACAAAACAGGATGTTAAGATATATGTTAAGAATTAATTTGCTCTTTCTAGTTCTCTGAAGGAAATAGATTATATTATAAACACATTCTTGAATTTTTTGGGACTTGAAACTGCTGTTGTTGTTTAGAAACATGCTTCTACTTCTGCAGCTTTGAATTGTTACAACATTAATAATTTTTGCTTGTAAGTTACGATCTTATTTGTACAAAGAAACTGAGGCCCAAGCAAAGCATTTACAGTCATATGTCAAACTCCAAAGAGATATTTACTATCAGCTATCTGCCCTGAATCAAAAAAATAAAATTATAAAATGAAGTAGATCTACAGATCCAATAAATAACAATTACGATAAAGAAAAACAATTTCTGCAACAGAAATAGACTTTGCTGTTTTCTCCAAGAGATTTATTTCGATAAAATGTAGTTTATAAATGAAATACTTGTGTACTGAAAACAGAAAATGTTTGCTTTCACAATTTAGTAGGAAATTAAAATTTACTGCTAACTTTCATTTGAAGAAAACATGTGAAGGTCAAATTAAAGACATGGACCACTTCAAACTCATGCAGATTTTTTTTCAGAACTATTTTCAAAAGATTCTGATTTTACTGTTGATTCTCGTTTCAATAAAAGGGTAATATACAATTAAACTCACCCCATGTTTAAGGAACATGAAGGTTGTGACACAAACTGACAACAGACAGGAAATTTAAAGTTAAGGCTATAACTCTGGTTTTAAGTCATGTCATGGAAAAACAGAGAGCATTATAGATAGAGTGTCAGACTTAGGTTTCAATTTCCTGGCTTTTGTCAGTTTATGTCACAACGTTAATTATATTTAACAAAACTTTTGGATTTCATTTCCTTGTCTGTTTTTGTATAACTTCTTGTTGCTGTTGTTGTTAAAGGGGAAAATAAATTTCATTACAATTAAGAAGGTATATGTTATTTTCCAGAATTTTTTTTTCTTTCCTTTTTAAGTTATGCTGGTTTTGACTGGGAAGCAGTTACTTTTCCCTCACAGTGGCTGGTATGAGGCTGTGTTTTTATATTTGTGCTGGGGGCAGTGTTGATGACACAGGGATTTTTTATTTTTTGCTGAGCAGAGCTTGCACGGTCAAGCCTTTTTCAGCCTTTTACTGCTTTTTAAGCCACCCACCAGTGAATGGACTGCGGATGCACAAAGAGTT